TTCTGTTGAATGATGGGTTAAAAGCGCGCTCTTGTTATTATCTTTAAAAAAGATGAAAGTAGTCAGATTAGAATCATCATTGTTCAGTATTAGCCTAAGCCAAAATCAATCATATTTTCGCTGGAAATGACTAGTTTGCATGTACGATCTACTATTTTATTCCTTGAATGGAAGTATTTCTAATTTAATTATAATGCCCAGTAAAGGACTAGTGGAGATGACATTGGTCTAGAATGCAACATTTGCATATTTCATTGATTTAGTAAAATAATATTTTGGCCAAATACCTGATAGCCCCTCAATTTGGTACGATTTGTCAGGTAGATACTCCAACTTAGCTAGTGAAGAGATAAACATCTCTGCTTGACAGAGCTGTGTCACATGAACACCTCATGCTGACATGGCAAATCGTGTGTTTTACACTTGCATTTGAGAGCGTAAAAAGCTTAAGTTATGCTTCTTCTCTTTCTTTTTTCCAAAACATTTCACATTCCTTCAAAAAAAAATTGGTGAAACACAAAAGGGAAAAAGAAGAATGAAAGGAGATGGACTATTTGATGAGTCTCCCATGGGAATTTCACGTTAGGTTCTTTTTCAATGATGGTGAAGGTGACAGTTCACTGTCTGGAACAAAAGGGAAAAAGAGATGAAATGCAAAGGATGGGTGTTGTTTGCCAGTTGGAGGATTTCCAATAAAGCTTGGCGAGGCTTCACTTTTTCTGATCTTCACTCGCTTGGAGATTTTTAGAGAAGTATATGTTTAGGTGCTATATTTTGGTTTTGCTTTGAGAGGAGGGCAGAAGAGAGGAGGTGAGAAGCGAGAAACTTGTTACTGAAAACTATTTTCCATCAAGGTTCGCTAATGGTGGTCAGTTTTTCGGTGCTCTAGAAGTGTTCCAGGGTCGTGGTAGTGCTGTCAAAAGAGGCCGGGTTTTTAACAGAGAAGGGGAGTTAGCGTGATAGAAAAGAAGTCGTAGTTGCTGGAAAGTTTTTGCAGTCATGTTCTCCGGTGTTGAAGGTGAAGGTCTTTGATGATTTGAGGCGTCATTTTATATAGGTGATATAAGCATGAAAACACAAATGTAAAATGGCAATAGAAAAGGGAAGAAGAAGATTGAAGGTAGATGCAAACTTGATTCTAATAGATAATAAATGGTAAAAGGAACCACATACCTTTTATTAAGAAATCAAAGTAAAACCTGGTCTATATGAAACCCTTGAGAGGAATGATTCCTCAAGCAAGCTCCATTGTAGTTTTCAAGCAACAAATGCATAGTCCAATTCTCACAAGAGAGTTCTATTATCATCAAAGTCCAAATCCTGCAAAAGAAAGACTAAAGATTAGCCTAACATTGAGCTAAATACCCATAATTAGGCTCTTAAACAGATTGGCATTTTTAGTTACAAGATTCTGCCTAGTTAGACGTCACCAGGGATCGCGGATTCTGGAATTTCAGCTATCTTCACGATCATGATGTGCTCAGATCCAGCAGGTTCTATCTGATCCTTGTTTGCCATTTTTTCCTTTGATTCTTTATCTCCCTCCTTGGATTCCACTTGCACAATATTGTAAACTCCCATGGGTGATCCGAAAGTCTTCTAACGCCTCTATCTTCATGATTACTCCTTGCAAGTCCTTGAACTCCTTAGCTTGACTTCTAGTGAAAGGCCTTGATGCTCCTTGATTCATATCAATAAGGGAGTTGGGGTTCGTACTGGTGGCTTTCTGTGTACTGTGGTGTCATTAGAGGAAATGGGTGGTGTAGTGGTTTTGAGTGAGTGTTGTTTTGTGGTGGTGAGTGTTGAAGTTTGAGGTGAATCTGTAGTGGCTTTGTGATGGTTAAATGGCCTTCTGCACCGGTTGCCTATATACAAGAGGTTCTCTACTCTGCCCAAAATTAGAGAGCCTTGCATAAAAGTACGGTTCTCTATAAAAGACACCCGAACATCTGAACAAATAGGAATCTCGTGGGTGCATAGATTTCCTTGTGTGATTTTCAGGTATTAACATAGACAGACACATACAGTAGTTGATGTGAGAAAATAGAGAAAATCTTTGTGTCTCTAGACGGTTGTGAGAGAGAGCAGAAACCAGTATACATTGCAAATATGTGAATAGTGATGTCTAACATTGAGTGTTATTATAGCTAAAAGTTTATGATGGCTAATTGGTAGGTAACACTGTTAGGGCTTTTGCAAAATGGTGAACCAAGAGCATGTATTCGCCCATAATTAAGTAGACAGATGGTTGTCCGTTATTGGAATTATTTTCTTCTTAAAAGCTTTTGCCATCCATTCAAAAGCATAGTTTTAAAGGCTATATCAAAGTGTATTCTTAATTTGCTCAGTGTAACTTTTAAGTTACTGTTGAAATTATATCATGTGCTTATTCTTTTTTACGTCCATCTCTGTGCGTTCACAATGCTGGTCCAGTAATGCTAGAAATATAAAATAAAAAGCTGCGCATTGTATCTTGTTATATAACTTCACTACATTTTGATGACAATCAAAGCAAAAACTCACACATACACACAAAGTAGAGTAGGGTGCTGGAATCCGAATAATTTGATTTCAGGTGGCATTCATTTGTATATAATGGATTTTGATGGCCCTTCGTTAAAAGGAATAGCTTTTGGGGTGGTGTATATTTGCCTTCTTTTGCCCCCTTGAGCCTCAGTCAGGATTTGCTACGTATTTAGTTGAGAAAGCCAGTTAGCTCATATGTTGGGCTAGAACATAAATAGATTCATGTTGACTAAAAAATGTGACTTGTGTATTAATTTTGCAGGTCACCTCGCCATATGGGAACACCCTTCATCACAAGGAGAACATAACACATAGTCAGTTTGCCTTCACAACTACTGAGGCTGGCAACTACTTAGCTTGTTTTTGGGCCGATAATCCAGGAGGTGGGAGTCTGAGTGTTAACATTGACTGGAAAACTGGAATTGCTGCCAAGGATTGGGAATCAGTTGCCAGAAAAGAGAAGATAGAGGTGAGATATTGAGTAGTTCAATAGGGAACCAATGATGGTATCTTGTATCCAACATCATGGAGAGTAGCGACAGTGAAAGCAAGACCCGCAAATTTCTAAAATCTATTCATCCAATGCCTCGTTTTTTCAAAAAAAAAAAAATTCATCCAATGCCTCGTGATAAATAAGTTACTATGATACACATGGTGGCATAATATGATTCCTTCTTTACATAAGATGGTTGATGAATAACAGATCATATAGTGAGGCAGAGTCTATTTGAATTGGTGATAGTCTTGAGAAATTTCTTGAAAAGACGAGAAGTTGTAAAAATTACTAGTAAATATTGCTGTTCCACATCTTTTCAAAAAAAATATTGCTGTTCCACATGAATCCTAGATCTTTCCCTGCATTTTCTTGTCATTCTGTGTGTTGTTTGGCATGGTTCTGTGCATAGAAAACACTTGCAAGTATTTTTGACATCGGTATATGTTTGGCATGGTGTAATGGATACTCCTGCCTATATATTGACTCTGGGAAAGGATCATATATGGTGCTGTTATCTTGTTCTGTTAAGTTGATATTTCCATTGTTCTAAAAGCTCTAAGAATTTTACTTAACTTTCTACCTGTGGTAGGGTATTGAACTCGAGCTGCGAAAGCTTGAAGGAGCTGTGGAGGCCATTCACGAAAATTTGATTTACTTGAAGAACAGGTATATAGCTTATGGAGGCAACAATTTTTATTTGTTTGCATTTGTTCTTTAATCTTTTTACTCCTTTTGCCCCTTCAGGGAATCAGAGATGCGGGCTGTGAGTGAAACGACAAATGCACGGGTTGCTTGGTTCAGTATCATGTCTTTGGGAGTCTGCCTTGTAGCATCAGTGCTGCAAATATTATATTTGAAGCAATATTTCCAAAAGAAGAAGCTAATCTAGACTTTCTTTAGGTGAAAGTTTTTCCGGGCTAATAGAAAAAAACCTTAGTTCTACCATCTTTTGACACTTTTGTTAGCAGTGTTTTTTTGTGATATTAGTGGATCCTGCTTTTACCGTGTCAAACAACAAAGAGAAGATTTACTGTCCAGTTTTTAATGTCCAGTTTTTTTGTGCATACAAGGACTACAGAAATACTATGTGCAGCATAACTTGGAACCATTTGCTTTTCTTATTGTCCTTTCTTCATTAGTTGACAATGTTGTACATTCTCTGAAGCATCTGCTTAGTTAAGTAGCACCACTATTTGCCTCTAATGATTGTGAGCTCTGGGTTAGGTGATGGTTTAAGTTACATACACTAAACAGTGTAAATAATTTCTACACTATCAACACAATTCAACTGGATATAATAGGTTATTTTATTTTCCAGGTTACTATGTTAGATTTGTTATAAAAAATTACATATTGTTGGTGAACTTAACCTTATAGGGTAAAAAAAATATTCACTGCTAGTGGAATGAAATAGAAATCAGTTCATTCCCCTAAATGGGTTCTATGGTTGCACATAGTGCTTTTCTTGACGAAAATGTATGATTAGTTTTGCTTTAATTGATTAATTATGGAAGATCTTACTTCTGCTACTCCATTTGGAGGATAGCTGTAATGGAACAATGAAGATTAGGGCTAATAAATATGCCCATAGTAAACAAATAAATAAAAAATCTCTGATGTGCTTATAAAAATTACAATATCTCCCTTTTTATACAGTTAAATGTGTTCTTATCCAATTAGTAAACTGATTTGTGCCTATACCATGGTATTGTTAAAAAGATTGAGAAGCCTAAGCAAAATGATAGTTTTAGAAGAAATCACTGCAAATGGATCTGATCCACTAAGAAACTATTTTAAGCTTTCAAACTTTTTAAATGAACTTTTGTCCCAAATGAATTGTTATGCTTTAGTTTTGCTTAAACATAGATGATTTTGAACTTTTGTCCCAAAGCTTTTAAACTTTTTAACAATGGCCAGTAAAAGATTCTAAGGTCTTATAAACAACGAACGATACTTTGTTTGCATAGAGTTAAGCGCATTTACCAACAAATGAATAGGTCTTAAACCAAAATAATTAAATTTGAAAAGTCTGCTGATGAACCATACAACCATCATAATACTGTAAAATATCATACTCAGTGAATATTAAGACATGACATCCTAACAGAAAACATAGTAAGTGATAAATAAATTGGCGTAAGGTTTGCTATTGACAACAATCTTGACCATGAAATACATAAACCAAAGCTTCGTGGCCATTATTTTCCCCATCGTTTTGTCTGAAAATGCTTCCAAGGCTCTAAAATATTGCTGTTCTTGAAATCAAGTCATTAGCATCAATGAGTTCCATGCAAAAGTATAAACTGCAAAGTATCCAGGATTTCCAAAGAAGTCATATTTACTATTTGTGGGAGTCATGTACTTTACATTTTTATATTCTTGACAGTATTATATTAGTATATAACATAGAAGGTATTACATAAATGGGAGACTTTATAATGCCAATGGCATAATAGACTTTTCAAGTGAAAGTATTGTAAAATCCGGCCAAGGTGACTTTTGCGATAACTAGAGCAAAGTAAATTGATTTTTGTGTAACAAAAGAAAGAAAAGTGATGATTTTTGAGCTGGCCAGCTCTAATAGTGTATGGGGTAAGGCAAGTGCCTTAGGCCCCCAATTTTTGCGGGCCCATTTTTTAGGAATAATATATATTTCATAGGTTTATAAAAATAAATAAATATATATAGTACTTTTGTACTGTTCATATAAAAGGAAAGAAAAACTTTTAGATATATTAATAAAGTAAAGCTTAAAAAAGTAGAAAAATAGTTTTCAATTTGATTTGATTTGATAATTCTACTTTTTACTCTTCTTCCCAAGTAATCCCAACGTTTCAATTTCATTTTACTCTTCATATTTCAGATATGAGACATGCCCTTCTTTCTTCCTCTTTATTCATGCTCTTCTTCTTTCTACTAGACTTCTTTCTTTCTCCAAGACTCCAACAAGCCAACTACTAGATATTTTGGAATCAAAGTCTTTAACTTCTTGAATTAATCAGTCATTGGGTAATATTAATTTAACTTTCTAGTATTATTTTTATTTGTTATTTATTATTTTATTAATTTTACTCCATACATATTGTTTAATATTTGTTTTAGAATATAAATATGTCAACAAGAAAATATGCATATGGTTATTAAAAAATCCAAAAGAAAAGAAAAGTTGAAGAGTTAAAACAAAATTAAAAAATTTATGGCCTCACTTTTTATTTTCGCTTAGGCCCCATATAATGTCGAGTTGCCCCTGTTTTTGAGTAATGAATACAAAGTTGAATGATCATCCATGAAATTTATTCATTTATTTCAATATTTAATCTTGGATTTAGCTTTTAGACACTGACAGAATAAATTTTTATACTATCAAATCACCTAAAAGATAATTAGACGTTACTTTCCATAAAAATTGGGATAGTTCCTAAAAGATAAGATAATTTACCTACAATAGGTTATCTACACTTTGTTCTTATAGGATTCATGTTTGTTAGTCACTCGGGGATGTTGTGCATACCTGTTAAGCCTAGTTTTATGATCCCATTGACAGAACATTTCTCAGGTCAGATAAGTTGTAACTTGTAACATACCTGCCTAATGAAGCAAAGAGTACTGAAAGGAAAAAGAAGACTACTCTGTGATATTTCTTCAATGGAAGAAGGGGTCCAATCAGCAGCCTTCGTGTCAAAGAATGTGCCATGTACTCCACCATGGTATTCCTATCCAAAATCAAAGAAACTATGTCACCATTGTTGGAAGAGTTTTCACTATGCCAAAAAGAATATACTATACCATCAAGTCACCTAAAAGATAATTAATTTATGCAAGTGGAATTAGTAACCCACCGGAAAATTAGGTAGGTTACCTGGGATAGTAGATCAAAATACGCCAATAATATTAAAAACTTTTAATCTGTTGGTTTTTAGTTATATTTTATGATCAAGTGTCATGCCAATTCGTTTGGCGAGGTTTAATGATGGTGAGATAGAAGGTTAGTTAAGTATTCTTTATTATCAAATGAATTTTTTAAAGGTATAACTAGGATATCAAATGAAGTAAGCATATGAATCTAGTTGGGAAAAGCTATTGGGTCGGGTCTATTCATATAGGGTGTTAACTAGCCCATTAGTGCGTCCTTCTTCTAAACCCTAGTTATAATTATAAATACACCATTATGAGTATTAAAAAAATATAGGTTTTCCTAACGTTTCTTGTGGGAAATAAATGATGATATAGGGTTTGTACTTCTTTGCATCACAATAGGATATCTAGGTTGTGGATATCGAAAAATAGGAATATAGGCTGAAGATAAAGGAAGTTCTCAACGACAGATGACACAAGTCATGGTGTTTTTGCTAAGGAGAGACGTAAGTCTCCTAACTAGCATTTACAGTTAAATTCTGGAGATCTAATTAAAAAAGAAAAAACGAAAAAGCTAGCAAAATATGGTTAGGCAAAGGAGTAGAACCCATATCTCACCTCCAAGAAAATCAGAGGTTGCATTGTCAAGAGGGTAATTGAAGTATCTTTGTATCCAACTAGATAGCAAATTGACAGGCCACAATGACATAAGCCTAGTCAAACCCCATAATAAAGGGTTCCTCATGTCTTGTTCCTCTTCTTCATCATCTAAATTATATCTACTATTGATGTAATTTCCTTGTTGGACATCATAGTTATTAGTGAATCCTTGCAGCTGATATCGACAAACCGGACAAGTATTATGATTTTCCAGCCATGGAAAAATGCATTCAGAATGATAAAAATGTTTGCAGGGCAGCTCCCTAACTTCACTCCCAACTTCAAACTCATCCTTACAAACAGGACAAACAGTGTCATTAGCTAAATGCCTATCTGTTAGTACAACTTTTGGCAATGCATCAATTGCTGGAGATGGCCCTAGTCTATCGTTTCGAGTTAATTCTTGAATCAACTCTTCCACCCCATTTTCGTTTGACGATTCCAGGGAAGTATTATTTGCTGGTAAAGAAAGTATATTTTCATCAGGGCCTATAAATTGGAGAATGATTCGAGCACGTTGTCTAAGCTGATAATTTTCGTCACCATGGTCAAGATTTTGTAGCCTAATTGACGGATCAAGAATTAGAGCCAAGGCATCAAGAAGACGCGAATTTGAAGATGGTTGTAGCCTGGTCATGACATCCGAAAGGACTAGCCTACGCCTCGAAACATCAAGATTATATTGAATTTGGCCAAAACAACGAGGACATAATATTTCAGATGAATTGGTTGAAGTTGTCCTGATTGATCTTTGGCATTGACGACACCAATAATAATGGAAAGTTCTCATTCTCTGGACTCCATTCACAACAACTTGAGGCCGAGGATGAGGGATCAAGGACATGATTTTTCTAGGAAGATAGAAAGGTTTATCAAATGCACAAATTATGAGAATTTAGAGGTGGGAAATAGAAAGAAAATGGGAAAGATTTTATATGAAAACAAGGGAGGGAAAAGGGGTGGCAATGCTTTGCATGAAGAGATTCTCTCTTCTCTAAAATTAAAGGCTGTTGTCCATTTTGCAGCTATCTTTACTTAGTCCTTTATGTCTCCTCTGGCCAAAAGTAAAGCATAAATGAGACATAATACAAGTTTATCTTTCTTTTTTTAGTTTCCCAGCCAATGTCCGGTACCCGTATTGGAGCCCGACTATATCCGGATTCGCGCCGCGTAGGGCCCCATTCGAGAGGAAGCGCTCCCTACCTACCAAGAATTTTTCCATATCCAGGGCTCGAACCCAAGACCTCTGATTAAGGGAGGAGCAGTCCCATCCACTGCAGCACATCCTTTGGTGGTGTAGGTGTTCTAGTTTAGGAAGAAAACTATTTCCAAAAAGCTTCTTTTTTCACCTGCAAAAAGGTTGAGTATCTCTAGTTGTGAATAAGATTTAGTATGTGATTGGAAATTATCAATCATACACAAACTTTGTGTCTTGACTATACCAAGTTACCAACCATAAAAATTGTGAATTTGATGCAAGTGAAATCCAGTTTCAAATCAGTAAACGAAAAAGATAACAAGAACCTCCCAATTAAAAAGCTAGTGCAAACGGTAAATGAACATTAGTCAAACTCAAAATTAAAGTTAATGCACCTTTACGATATCTCTATTAACAGAATGATTCGCTAAGTAAAAGCAATAATGTCTGAACTTACACTAGAAATACATACACTATGATTTTCATACTCACATTTCTCTTCTTTTTATTTTATTTTTTGGGACAGAACGAAACAAGAAGACAATAAAATAAGGGATCGTTAGGTACTGGTTGGAGGAATCAATTTCAATATAAAATCTCGTGTAAGATAATACAAGGTTGGTGGCATGACACAAAAATAATTGCCGCATAACTAATGCAACATTTGGCAGGGGCGCACCTAGAACATTGACTATGAGTTCCCAGGAACCAGTAACTCTTGCGTAAACTTTGTATTTATATTAAGAAATTCACTAAATATTTGTAAATATTTAACTGTGAACCCAGTTATTATTGCATATTAAATTGAGATTACGGTAGGAACCAATAAACTTCATATCCTGAATCCGCCTGTGGCATTTGGATGTTATTTATGTGGATGTGGAATAAAATATGAAATAAGTATATAAGTAACTTAAAGTGAGATAAAATGTGAAGTAATACATTTAACTTCATAATTAGAAATGCAGAGATTAAACTATTAAAAGCAAAAAAAATAAAACCCATTTAAAGCATGTAATTATGTGAAACAACCCTTGATTATCAATTACCACATAATAATTATTTAATTATAATCTATACTATATTCAAAAGCATGAAATGTTCAAGGTAATAAAGAAAATTTGTTTACACTCAAAAAAGCACGAAACCTCTTAGCAAAATATCTTTCACTTTTTTTATGTTTTAAAATTAATTTCATATGGAATAAAATTGTATTTAAATTATTTTGCTAATATTTAAGACTTTGAAATAAACTAAAATCTTAATTGTTGAAACTCTTTCCTTATTAAAATAGGTATAAGTTTCATACCTTCTAACAATTTTCCAGTTTGTCGACACTAGAAAATAGAATCGCTCTCGGTTTTCCTTCATCTAGAAAAGGAAATTCTTGACACTAGAAAAATAAAAAAGATTCATGAATAAAAAAAGCTTCCTCTTTCGTCAGAAAGAGAAGTTTGCCTTGTACATATATGCTGACAAAGATAAAATAGTGTATTTCACCTGGTTTGTTATCAATAATTCAAGTGATGAACTCACTTACAACAGCTAGTTTATTTTATTTTTATAAATAAACAATTAACGAAGGTGTTTATATAGTTTACAAATGTGATGAATTAAATTGTATGTAATAAGAAAAGAAAAAGACGATAGCGTAATTTGTTTTTGGCTTTGTTAAAAATTAACAAATTTTATTAGGTAAAGTGTGATTATAGTTATACATAGTTTTAACAAGAAACAAATGATTTATAAATGGTAAAAATTTTAATCATTTTTTTTAAAAATAAATTAATAACTAAAATATTTGTTGATTTTAAGGTCCTGAAAATAAAAAAGTTACAAGTCTTGTTTAATGTAAATTTTATTTTTAAAAGGTAAAAAGGTCGATAAATATTTTAACTATAATATCTTAATGTGACCAAAAAAATTATTCTGTTTTTAGTATTGGCCATATAAATAACAATATGTTATGAATAGAATTATAATTAGAGTGAATGTCTATCTTTTAGAGAGTTTTACTTTGTGGCTAAGTCGTTTTTCCCTATAAATAGAGGGGTCTTACCCCATTGTAAATCATCCCAAAATTCAATAAGAATTACTCTCTCTTTCTCTGCAATATTGTTCTTCTACTTTTATTATTTTATTACACGTTATCAGCACGAGACTCTACCATCTCAAGAAGCTCTTTGAGAAGACTAAGGTACAAATTTTCTCCTCTTTTAATTATGACTGATATTATGAAAAGAAAGTTCGTTGCCCTTGAAATTTCGGGCAAGAACTATATGACATGGGTGTTGGATGCTGAAATTCATTTAGATGCAACGGGTCTTGGAGACGCCATTAAATACAAAAATAAAGCATCCACCCAAGACTGTGCTAAGGCCTTGATTTTCTTGCGCCATCACCTTGATGAAGGGTTGAATAGAATATCTCACAGTGATTCACTTGTTTTGTGGAATGGCTTAAAGGAAAGATATGATAACTTAAAGTTGGTCACTCTTCCACAAGAACGATATGATTGGGCTCATCTGAGGCTCCAAGACTTTAAGTCTGTTTCTGTAACGACCCGACTGGTCGTTTTGAGCAATTGCGTCCGATTCGGTAGTCTGAGGTCACGAGTAGCTTCATATTATGTATATCGACTTGCGTGCATGGTTGAAATCTGTTTCCAGATGAATCAGAGTCGAATTGGAAGAATGAATCTAATTTTGGAAGCTTAAGCGATGAGAGTTTGACCGAAATTTGACTTTTGAGTAAACGGCTCTGGAATGAGTTTTGGATGATCTCAGTAGCTTTGTATGATGATATTGGACTTAGGCATGCGTTCGGATTTGGATTTGGAGGCTTGTAGGGTAATTTGAGGCGTTTCGGCGAAAGTTAGAAAGTTGAAGTTTGGAAAATGGAGAGGTTTGACCAATAGTTGACTTTTAAATGGAGAGGTTTGACCAATAGTTGACTTTTATGTTATCGAGGTCGGAACGCGATCCCAAAAGTTGGAACAGCTCTGTTATGTCATTTGGGTCTTGTCTGCAAAATTTGGTGTCGTTTGGATTTGATTTGATATGGTTCGGACGCGTGGTTACAATCCTAGAAGTTCTTGAAGTTCATAGGAATTTTCATGCATTTTGGCGTCTAATTCGTGGTTTTAGAAGTTATCCTGAAGATTTGAGCGCGGGAACGAGTTCGTGAGGTGCTTTTAGACTTGTGTGCATATTTGGTTTGAAGACCCGAGAGCTCGGGTGAGTTCTGGAATTATTTTTTTTGCCTAGTCTTTGATTTATGGTTCTGGTGTCATCGCATTTGCGATGTATTGGTCGCAAATGCGACAACCGCAATTGCGAAGCAGCCATCGCATTTGCGAGGTCTGAGCTGCTGGGCAGAGTTCACATTTGCGAAGGACTCTGCCGCATTTGCGAAAGCCCCTCCTTCGCATTTGCAAAGATTTTGTCGCAAATGCGACCTTAGCAGGGTAATTCCGGGCTTCGCATTTGTGAAGCTTTCTACGCATTTACGAGTTTGCATTTGCGACACTGCAGCCTGCTAAAAGCTGAGTATTTCGAGTTTTTGCTCATTTTTCATATTTTTGAACCCTAACTCCGAGAGTGGGCGATTTTGAGGGAAGATTTTCATACCAAATCATTGGTGTAACGATCCGGCCGGTCGTTTTAAGAATTAACGTCCCGATCCCCTATTAACTGCTTTCTCCGTGCTTATTTCTGCTATTGTGAGTTGCCGGGAGGATTCGTTTTCTATTTCGGAGTGTTTTGGGACAATTAGTCCCTAAATGAGAGTTTTAGCCTTAGAATTTGGACCTTAGTCGGAGCAGTGTGAAGACGGCCTCGGAATGGAATTCCGTTGGTTCCGTTGGGTGATTTCGGGCTTAGAGGCGTGTTCGGATTGTGTTTTGGAGGTCCGTAGCTTAATTAGGCTTGAAATGCCAAAAGTTGAATTTTTGAAGTTTCCGGTTCGATAGTGAGATTTTGATATCGGGGTCGGAATGGAATTCCGGAAGTTGGAGTAGGTCCGTTGTGTCATTTGGGACGTGTGTGCAAAATTTCAGGTAATTCGGATAAGGTTTGATAGGCTTTTTGATCGAAAGCGGAAATTTGAAGTTCTGAAAATCCTTAGGCTTGGATTGGAGATTGATTTGTGGTTTTAGCATTGTTTGATGTGATTCGAGGGTTGGAATAAGTTCGTATGAAGTTTTGTATTGGTTGGCAGGTTCGGTTAAGGTCCCAGGGGCCTCGGGTGAGTTTCAGGTGCTTAACGGAAGTTGAATTGGACTTAGAGAAATATGAAGTTGGCTGAACCTGTCATAACCGCACCTGCGTGTATTGGACCGCAGGTGCGGCACCGCAGAAGCGGTAGGAGGACCGCAGGTGCGGTCTGAGGCATTTTGGGCTTAGGTTGCAGATGCGGCCCATGCACCGCAAAAGCGGCACCGCATCTGAGGAAAGGGGGTCGCAGGTGCGGAATTCTTGGTTTAATGAAAAGTCGTAGGTGCGACATGGTCTCCGCAGAAGCGAGACCACAGGTGCGGTCCCAGAGACGCGGGTGCAGTTCCACTGGTCAGAAAAAAAGGGGCAGAATCGAGGGTTAAGTCTCAAAATCTTAGAAATTGATTTGGGAGCTCGGGATTGGCGATTTTGGGAGAGAATTTCACCTGGGTGTTTTGGGTAAGTAATTCTTACTCGGTTTTGATTAATTTCCATGAATCTATGCTTAAATTCATCCTTTAAACTCGAATTTGGGATGAAAATTTGGAGAAAAATTGGAAAAGATCTTAGGCCTAATTTTGGAGTTTTGATCAAGATTTTGATGTCGGATTGGAGCAATTTTTGTATATATTAACTCGTGAGAGTGTGAGGATTCCGAATTTATAAATTTTACCCGATTCCGAGACATGGGCTCGAGGGGGCTTTTTGGGTGATTTTCCTAATTTTGCGTATTAGCTTCGAATTAATTAGTTGATTAGTTACTTGAAGTTATATTTACATTATGCAATTACTTTGAATAGATTTGGGCCATTTGGAGTCGGATACTCGTGGCAAGAATATGGTATTGAGTTAATTGAGCTGGTTCAAGGTAAGTGGCTTCCCTTACCTTGTGTGGGGGAACTCCCCTTAGGAATTGGTACCGTGATATATGAAATGCCTTATACGTGAGGTGACGAGTGCGTACATGTGCTAATTGTTGAAAATCCTGTTTTCATTAAGTAACTATAACTGCG